ATGGGTAGGCGATGGCAATTATAGTGTATACTGCATAGATCGCTGGTACTTTACTGTTATTTACTAGTTATTTAATCTATTCTGTGTTATTACAATAAGTATTAAGTAGTGACTAAACATATTTTACTGAAAATTGTAATCAACCCCTTTTATATTTCTTTTCAATAGTTCATTCCCTCTATCTTCTATTGATAATGTCGAAAGTGTCTTTTTCGACGTTGGCGTATTGTAAAATGGTTGCCCATGCTGCCAAATATCCTCACTGTGAAGTAAACGGATTACTTGTCGCCGAGAACTCTACTAAGGGCGATAAGTTGGTTATAGTGGACACTGTTCCATTGTTCCATCAGTGCCTTCATGTGTCACCGATGTCAGAGATCGCCTTGATGCAAATCGATCAATCGGCCAGTACATGCAATATGTACATTGCCGGCTATTATCTAGCTAATGAAACGCTGGATGATTTAAGGTACCTAGATGTCTAACTTTTCAATATCTGAAATCTATAATTATTCAAAAATTTCAAGAAGGAAAATTTGATATGTGTTGACAGAGAATAGTTATGTACTAACTGGAATCTTGTTCAATTGCTTCCTTGAAAATCTTGAATATTATGTAATGAATTGTGTACTAACATATGGTTTATAAACATGTATTTTCTATGTATCTATCATGTTAATCCTAATGTAGTTTATGGAATATATATTATTATCAGTTGGGTGATCAGTAGTTGACTCAACTGTTGGGGACCAGAATAAAATTAATTAATGTATGTTGGCAAAAATAGTACAAATAAAATAGTACCTGCTAGGTATCAACTATTTTAAATATATTGTTATAAAAAACTACCTTAATTTAAAAAAAAAATCATTCTTAAAAAATATGCCTTTAACCGTCAGAAAATATGTGCATATTAATAGGTACTAGTGGCAGGGTTTAAAGTGGGAAAAAATTCCAGAAGGGACTAATGTCTCTATATAGTTTTAAGCCATGTATAATTGTATGTATAAAATCTTAATTTGTTAAAGAGGACACTTTTTAACTGCCGTCAGATAGGGTGACTGAGATCCTGTGTCCCACCACTTTAACCCCTATCCGTAGGTACCTATGTGGAAAAATTATTTTTTTTTAAACTAAGTGTTGGGATAACTAATTTAAATTAGGTACTATAGATTAGATTTATCTCAGACAAATTGTTGCAGTATCTATAACTTTGTTATATTGCTAATTTTTCAATGTTTTGTAAATTATATTAGTAAATAAGAGTTTTTGTGTAAATTATTATAAAAAACTGATGAAAAGTGCCTATTTAATTTAAGTACTATACTTACCCCTTGATAACCATTCTGGAATTTGAATTACCAAATTGAAAAAGCAATCTATTATTCTTATATTTTTTAAATACTTACATTTATCATGATATTTTAATGTTTGTAGTTATGATAAACCAGCCCATAAGATTATGGATAAGATTGTTGAACATGAGACAGATGTCTGTATGGTTGTGGTTAGTAATATTTTTATTGTCTTCAATCTAATATTTTTGATCTTAATAATTAATAATTCAAAATTAAATTTTTTATAGATCAATAATCGGTTAATGGAGTTAAATCAAAAAGAAAGTGCACTGTTAGTGCACACTCAAGATGATGGAAAATGGAAACGTCTGAATAACTCAAAGTATGCATATTGAATAATAAATAATACTAAATAATTAATAATTTATTTTATTATTTTCAATTTAGCGTGCAAATAGAAAATGTAACATTGGCAGCTGCATCAGCTGTATTACAACAACAGTTGTATAATAATTTGGTAGATTTTGACAATCACTTGGATAATTTGTCTTTAGACTGGCTCAATACAGAATTTTCTAACTGTGTGGAAAGAACATCTGGACATGATATGGGAAGAAGGCTGATGATTAATAAATCAGTTTCTTGACAATTGGAATGGGATGAGGGAATGAAACAAATTAAATTTTGATTCATTAATTTTAGATGAGCATTAAGAATTGTTTTTTAGTTCAATTATCAATAATTATCTTGTTTCCATATTATTATTAATTATTTCAAATGGAAATGATGTAAGCAAAACTGTTTTAAATTTAGTTATAGAAAAACTTCAAATTAATAATTTAATTATTACTAAAAATATATTATTCCACATCTGGAATTCGCCATTTCTTCTTTCTAAATATTGTTTCATTATGCTTAAGCTACTTTTAGTATTTTTATGTTACTTATTGGGTTTATAATTTATAAGATAAAATTTTTATTGCAATTTTATGTATAAGACTATAATTATATAATATTTATATTCACCATTTATATAGCATATATAAATAACAGCACATACAATTGTGTGTATTATGTAGTAAAAATATTTATATCAGGAACAATTAACATTTTTAAGTGTCTTTGAAATTGTTAATGGTTTATGTACAAAATTTAAAGGTATTAAGGTATACATTTATGTATGTTAAGTAATTTACAGTCAGCTTTTGTTTTTGTTTTATAATTTATACTTATTAAATAAGTATATTTTATAAGTTATCTTAAATTTATATAAAATATTGATTAAGTAATTTTTAGGTCTTGGTAAACGTTTTTTATGTTGTAGACATATAGTTGCATATGTATTTATGAATCACACTGGATAATTTTTTTCAAAGTAAATAAACACCGAGAAATTCGTTATTTTTTAAGTATTAGTATGTATTATAAGCCATAAAATCCAAAATGATTTTAAATTTTAGGTATATCAAGTTCTACGTTTTTAATATGACAAATTTGATGATTAAGTAATAAATTTAATTTCTATTCCTTAATAACTTGTAATTAAAAATAAATGTGAACTAAAGTTTTGTTAAAAGCTTGATTGAGTGAGTTGGACTTAATCCACTCAACAGTTGTTAAATAGTATTAGAGTGGTTATTATTTTAGGTTTTCTCTTTTAATCAAGTTTTTGTAGTTTCTCCTTAATAAAATGTTGTCAAAGGATTGTCAAAGGATGCCCCATCTTTATTATTGGCGGGGTCCAGTTAAAACGCATTGTAAACAGATCTGTTTTATCTACACAATGTCACACTACTTTTTATGTCCCGCTATACCACAATATGATGCGGTCAGGACCCAGGAAGAATTTTTTGGAAAATTTGAATACATTTGCTCATTGAAATGGGGTGATGACAATTTTTTTAATTATACTCTTATTAATTGTTAATATTGGTGTTACCGTGTGGGTAAGAAAAAAAGTAGTACTTATATAAATTAAATAAGTAGTTATTATTATATTGTTAAACAATTGAAAAAAAATATTATTGATTATTATTTTAATTTATCAATATGAAATAACAGTATCTTGTACCTATAACATAGATACTATATGACCTATAATTAAAAAATAACAATAATTATTTTATTATTGATGTGCATTATTATTTATTACTATTCGTATCGTAATTTGTATAGAAAAAAAGCCTTCCCTTAACTGCGGTATTTTCGGAGTTGGATTTCAAAATTTGACCACGGTGACAAGAAAACCGTTTGCGCCATTGTGTGACACTGTTTAGAACAGTATGACAAATTTGGAACCTAACCTTCATCCACGCTATACATTGAGTTTACACTTCTACAGTCTTGGCAACAAACATAGGTAATTGGATCCTAGGAAAATACTACGAGTTGGTTGAATTAAACTTACCTAAATACATAATAGTATTGCATTGTAATGAGTAGTATTATTTATCCATATTCCATCATGAATATTCATGAATCGTATTTGAAAAATAAATGATAATAAAATTATAACTTATAATTTATATGTTTATTAATAGTTAAAACCCCTTTTAAAAGATATGTGTAGGCAATATGTGTATTGCCGGCTTGCCGTTACCGTCTTATCAGAAGTGATAAGTTAAATATGTAGTATGTACGATGTACCGACAGTTGTCGATTGTACGGTACATTTTGAAGTTTGAAATGAATAGATATTACAGAATAAATTTTTTATTGTTCAGCTCTTCATAGTTTTAGTGTTTTAATTCTTAATTTCGTCTCTACCCTTCGATCATGAGTACTGGTAGTACTTAGGAAGGAATTAAAAATTAAATTTCTCAATTAACGTATAACGCAATATTACCTATTGGCTGTTACTTTTGAATTACAAAATGGCTTCTGGAGCATCTGTTCAAGACGATTCAGAAAACTTTAAAATTCTTGTAGCAACAGACTTACATTTAGGTTTCGAAGAAAAAAATTTGGTTCGAGGTGAAAACAAAATTACATTTTATCCATAACATATGACTTGTAATAGAGTACTAGGCGGTAACTTGTTAAAAAGTCCAGATTCATTTTTTGATCGTTCGACTAAAAGACTAAAAATACAAAATATATTCTATTGAATTTTTATTTTTAATTATTTTATATTACATTATATATTATTATATTATTTTTAGGTGTTTGATACATGATTAATATTAATTTTCAAAATATAATTATTATTATTATTATTATTATTATTATTTACTATATTAATATAGGATTATACATGCATTTGATAACTATTTTACTATTCCCTACTATTCCTTAAACTTAACTTAAGTTTACCTAACCTAACCCGTACAGACATGAATAACCACAAATCATAATAATAATAATTTAATATAAATTTCGTACCTACTTTTAAGCAATGACTGAATGACCAATGTAATTTAAAAATTCATCTATTATCGACTCATTAATACTAGTTATTTGTAAGTATCAGTTTGCCTAGTGGTCCAAAACTATTCTAAATTTAAACTACCAAATTAATTTTTTTTTAATTAATATTAATTGTAGGTATATAATATAATAAATAGAATGATAAATGAGAGTTTATTATTATTTTATATTTTCAAACTTTATGTCTGACAATAAAAAATTAATCCGGACTTGTTGTCCAGGATTTGTATTAGACATACCTACTTACATAGTTCATGTTGTTATAATATAATATAATATTATGTATTAATATACTTAAGCAGCTAAGTATTTCATAATTTTTTGCTATAAAATAATATACATGAGATTTACTAGTTCTGTGTAGTACATATTTGATATTACCTAAATATTTGGTCATGTTTAATTAGGAAAATAATTTATCAAAATTGTAGGAATAATTTTTTTTTTTATTATAGCTTTAAGTAAACACTAATATAGCTCAACAATTATAAAATTAATAATTTTATTTTACTTAACATTTTAATGATCTATTATATATATATATAATACCTAAAAATCAATAATACTTATCAATTTATATGGCATTATTGTTTTAGCTGATGACTCATTCAATACATTTGAAGAAGTGTTACAATTAGCAGTTAAACACAAAGTTGATTTTATTTTGTTGGGTGGTGATCTATTTCATGTCAACCAACCTTCAGTAGCATCTTTGGAAAGATGCATTTCCCTCTTGCGTTCTTATTGTTTGGGTGACAAGTAAGTATTAAGAAACTTTATAATAAACTTGTGTCTTGAAGTGTTAAATTATAATTGCAATAAAAAATAACTGTTCAATTATTATACATTGATTTTAAATAATGAGACTAGTGTGGATAAAGTATTTTATTATTTTTTATGATATAGACCTATAAATATGGAATTTGTTTGTGACCAAGCTGAAGTATTTAAACATTGCAATCATCCCATTGTCAATTTTGAAGATCAAAATCTTAATGTTTCGATTCCGGTTTTTTCAATTCATGGCAATCATGATGATCCTTGTGGTAAAAAATTTCATTGTACATTTTATTTAATTCAAAAATCATTAATATATAAATTAAAATATTTTAAGGCTATAGAGAGGTATCATGTATGGATCTTTTAAGTTCAATGGGCTTAATTAATTACTTTGGCAAACAAACAAATCTTCAAGAGCTTAAAATAAATCCTATACTTTTAAAAAAAGGATCAAATAAAATTGCTATTTATGGTTTGAGTCATATTCGAGATGAAAGGTTGGAACGATTATTTAAGGAAAAAAAAGTATTTATGAATCGTCCATTAGAAGATGTAGACGATTGGTTCAATATATTTGTATGTCATCAAAATCGTGTAAATCGACCCGGTACAAAGTATTTATCTGAAAAATGTATTCCGAATCATATAATGCTTACTATTTGGGGACATGAACACGAAAGTTTAATTGATCCTGTTCCTGTTCAAGGGGAATCAAATTCTGGTTATATTTGCCAGCCAGGTAATACCAATAATAGTTAATTTGTTAAATATTATAGTTTATAACTATACTCATTTCGGAATGAGATCGTTTCCCCCACCCAGAAAGCTCATGTGACTAGCACTGTGGAATGAAGCCACACCCATGGGCAGAAGTTGGCCGCCAAGGTGCAATCTCATTCCAATAGAGTATAGGCTTAAATTTATAATTCTTAAACAATTTTCTTTAAAAAATTACTATTTTACTATTAGGCAGTACAGTAGCAACATCAATGTGTGAAGGAGAAGCAGGTACTAAATATGTTGGATTGTTAACTATCAGCGGTAAACGTTTCAAAATGGAACCACTGGAATTGAAAACTGTTAGGCTGATGCACTTTGAGACAATAAGACTGTCAGAATGTGATGAAGATGTTAGTACTTCAAAGAAAACTCAAGAATTTGTGAGAAGACAAATTGAGGATATCTTACTAAGATTGAGTCATAAATATAGCGGTAAATTTGAGTTACAGATAATTAATTCATATTTAGTTGATAAATTCTAATATTGTTGCTCGTTCGTTATGAATCTGCTACCAGTCAAAATTGATCTCTCAAAATATATCTTCCTATTACATGAATTTTCCACTTTTATTGTTTAATATTACTATCAGATTTCACTGTTAGCTCATTGCCTAATCTTATTTTATTAAAAAAATACGTATAATTACATTATTACAGTTTTCAAAATTGTATAAATCTTATAAAATTTAAATATTATATGTACTTAAATTTTAAATTTAATGAAACTATATTTATATTTATAAATGTTTTTAATAATAGAAAAAAAAGCATTGAACAATTCAATTAATTGTCATAAATATACAATATGTTTATTTTAGAATTCAGATACCTACATACATTTTTTAATAATAATTTCATTAAAGATAACAAAGATTGGCTTAACTAATAAGTACTTACCTATGTTATGGTAAATATCAAAAAATAAATTTCATACATTAATTCATGATGAAAGCATAATAAACTCTATAAATGTTTTTTTGTCAAATATTGTTATGCAATTGATTAAAATGTTAATGTTACTGAGATAAAGGATTATAATGAATACATTTTTATTTTTTTTATACTCTTATACTATTATGTTTATAAATAATCACAGAGGTAGTTATTGTAATGTCAAATGAACAAAGTGGAAAAGTTAGTTACATGTCAGGAGATTGATTTCGACCAGTGGCGACTCATAATGTATGAGAACTTATCAATATTATTTGTACACATCTGTTTTGTTAATTTGGATACATGCATGATGTAGCTTAAAAAAAATGTAAACTTAAGATAATAATGAAAATACCCATGATTAAAATTGGAATTAAGATACAATTTTTTAATCAACTAAAATCTACCCATTTAAAGTGACCTGTTTACTATCATAATTTAATAAATAAATAATATTTAATCATTATGTTTAGGTCATGATAAACAACCAAAATTACCATTAATAAGACTTAGAGTTGAATATACTAATGAAACTCAACATTTTAAATGTATTCAGTTTGGTCATGAATTTCAAGACCGTGTTGCTAATTCTAATGATATGATATTACTAAGA